TCCCCCCTATCTTTTAAGTGGAGTGCCCAGCAATGTTTTAATTATGATCTGACGATCCTTTGATTGTTTGAATTGCCAGCCTTTTGTTATTCTTAATCACCCTTTCTCCCTCTATTTATAACAAACTCCCTGCCCCAAAGGCAAAGCTGCAAGCAGCTCAAACTGTTGCATTTAAGAACTGCTTCTGGAGTCAGGATATGGGCTTTAAGCAGACCTCAAGTATAAAATCCAGGCATTTAAACTCGGGAGGGGGGCTACTGGCTCCCTAGCCCCTCCCAAATGGCGCCCTTGTACATCATATATCCACAAAAGGATTTAGGTGCTTAAATGGCGGGCTGGAGGGAAACACTTATCTCTACCTGGGAGAGAGAGCCATGAATCCTCTCCACCAAAGCCAGCTCAGCCATTTCTAGAAAAAAATGAGAAAGAAACGGAGTGGAGCTCCATTGCTACAGCTACCTCAGCAATCATTTGAGCTCCATATATGCTCCAGTTACTAATTCTCCTCTTAATTCTTCTTGCTTTCTGTCTGTCTGTGTTCCAGCGATATGACATAATGAGAAGATAGAATACAGTACAAGCAATTTTATTATATTGTTTAATAATCTTAAAGATCATAAAGATATATCCTGAAATCACCCAATCAAGATTCTGGGGAAACATTTTAACTATATTTTGGTTTCTTAATTAGTTTATATTTTAAATAATATACAAGATTTAAGATAAAGTTATTTAATGTTCCAAATTAAATGTTATTTGTCCTAAGATTACTGAATAATAGATTTTATGATGATTTAAATACCACACAATATCTTAAATATGTTTTCTGAAAGATCTGGGGCAGTAAATCCCTTCTGGACATTTACTCTGAAAGTACATTGAGAGGAATAAACAGCTGTCGGGAATATAAATGCTAAATCATCAGAATGCTGACTCAGTGCTGTGGAAATTGCAATATGTTCATACAATGCAGAGGTAACATGTCATGTACCAACTAGTCATGTTTTCTGTTTGGACAACTATAAACCAATTGAACTAAAAGGTTGGAACAAAACTGAGGAGTAGACAACAAAGGAGAAAGTAAGGAAGATTTTAAAATCAATGCATTTTTCAAGTTAGTGGTTCTCAGCCTTTCTAGACTACTGTACCCCTTTCAGGAGTCTGTTTTATTTTGAGTTTCCCAAGTTTCACCTTACTTAAAAACTACTTGATTACAAAATCAGACATAAAAAATACAAAAGTATCACAACACACTATTATGATAAATCGCTTACTTTCTCATTCTGTTTGTATGAAAGTTTAATTTGTATTGACTTCACGGTGCTTTTTATGAAGCCTTTTGTAAAATATCTGCACTACGCGGAAGATTGACGTTGCTGCGATCACTCTTCCAGGGTTTGATTTAGTGGGTCTAGTGAAGACCCACTAATTCCAATTGAGAGGGTACCCCCATCAGCGCTTGTATTTCGGCTCCTCACTAAGAGTAAGGGAAGCGGATAGGAGCGTTTAGTCCTGTCAACCTCCCGCTGTGTAGAAGGTGATTAAAGTATGTGGATTCCAACTATGTAATTAACATAGCAGGAGTTGTGTATCTTAGGTCGACCTTCACCTTTAATATAGACATGCTCTAGATGAGTTGATATACCACCCGGAAGACCTCTGCATACTCCTGGTTGAGAACCACTGCCAGTGGCAAAAAAGAAATACTGACCAATAAAGCTAAGAACTGTTAAACCCTCAGCTTCTATGAAAAGGAAAATTATTCTTTTAAATAGGTTGCTTTCTTTTAACCATCATTTCCTTACGAGCCTGATCCTGTTCTTAGTGAAGTTAATTGAGTTAATCCACTGAATTTAATGGAAGCATCCTGCCAGCCCTTATTTACATGGAAGTCCCACTATGGTCAGTGACTCCAATTCTCAGTTATCCTGACTTGGTGCAGCTATGAAGATATGTACAAGAAGCTTTGTGCTCCCCATATTCTTGGAGTAGCCAGGAGCTTGCCTAGCTCTGGCATGAACTCAAGTAGCCTTAGAGTTCCTCTAACTTACATATGTGGCAAGGATTCGACCTCTTTACTCATTTCTCCTCACTGCAGCATCTCTGTGCCAGGCAGGGAAGCTGCTTATGCTGAAAAAGTTATCTTAAAGGCTCCCGATGGATCCTGACATCACCCAAACAGTATCAATAGGCTTTAGGATAAAGGAGAATCAGACTGAAT